ATTATGCTCCCTTCGAACTGGTTGTCTTTAAAATACAAATCTTGTGTAATCCCAGGCTATCTGTAATCAGAAGCACATTTAAAACTGGAATATAATTTAATTTCATTCACATGTGTTTCATAAACAAATAATCCTTTCTGGATTACAATCCGCCATCAAAATGATAAATTTAAATTATTCCAGCTGCTGTGAGAAAAGGCTACAAACGATCCTCCACCTGCAGCATCCTCACACGTGATAGCCTACTAGCCAGGACAACTTCTTTATGTTTACAGACGTGACGTAATGACGCAGTGCTACGCTCAAATTTCCCGCGAAAACCTACCCGTACCATTCAAATTAGAAAACATTATTATAAGCTAACCGTTGTGAATCGGGCTAAAGTAAAGCGATAGTTTTGAACACTGGCTGATTATGTACTTGCTCAAATATTGATTTCGGATCATTTTTAACCAAAAAAAGTTACGGACTGCAGCTTTAAAGGAGAAATAAGTTATCTTAAAGGGACAGTTCACCCAAAAATGTGAAAAAGTTACTTAACCTTAGGTCATCCAAGATGTAGTTCATCGGAACAGATTTTGAGATATTTGGCATTATATCACTTGTTTACCAATGGATTTTCTCCAGCGAATGAGTGCCGTCAGAATTAGAGTCCAAACAGCTGATAAAACATCACAATAAAACAACAACCAATCCACATGACTCCAGTCCATCAATTAACGTCTTGTGAAGTGAGAAGCCATGTGTTTGTAGTAAACAAATCCATTATTAGAATGTTTTAACTGTTGTCCTCTCACATCAAAATTCACTGACATTTTTTAGAACTGTTTTTGCTTGTTTTTCTGCACATATTTTTCTCCTGATTCAGACAAGACGACTTTTCACTGGCAAAAGCAATATTATGGATAGAGTACTCACATTTTAGCCAGAAACAATCATTGCTATTCACTTCACAATATGATAATTGATTGACTGGAGTATGTGGATTACTAGTGATGTTTTCATCAGCTGTTTGGACTCTCATTCCGACGGCACCTATTCACTGCAGAATATCCAATGGTGAGCAAGTATGTAATGCTAACTTCTCGAAATCTGTTCCATTGAAGAAACATTCTCATCTATATATGGCCTGATGGTGAGTAAATTTTCAGCAAATTTTCAATTTGTGGTGATCCATTCCTTGAAGCTTTCCCCCTTACTTTTAATTTACACTGTACTATTCTGCTGTAACCTTTTCAAGAAAACCTTTTCAACAACTGAAAATAACACAAAGGCATATCATTCTTTTTCATTATTTTAAAGCAATGCATTATTGACGTAGATTCTCAGACATCTACCTGAAGAGCCCATTTAACAAAAGCACTTGTTATGCGGAACAATTATTTCCTGGCTTTTACGGCCATTACAAATATATTGATCTACGTCAGTTCAGGCCAGCCAAGAGGTTTCTTTTTCCTGAATGCATGTTCTAGTGCAGAACAAACAGGTGGTCAAATCAAAAGGTCCAGCTTCTTACATAATCTTTGTAAATCGTTATCTTAATGCATTGCATTAATGCTCTTCACACCATGCAATAAAACACAATGTGAGACCACAGTCACGATGTAAAAAATACACCAATTCTGTCTATTACTGCATTCAGAAATGACAGTTTATAGATTTATGAAAGCACGTAAAAATCTGTGGCATGTTAAGATTGTATAACAGTGAGGAAACTGACAAATCTCTTGTTCTGCTGTCACAACCAGCTGGTGAAACAATCACTTTTTAAGCAGCAGTGCAGACAATAAGGGCAATTCATCTCAGATGCATCTGTCCTGAAACATGCTAACAACAGGAATACCTCAATGTACTGAGCTGGGGAACAGCAATGGGCCTTCCGTATAAATTCACAATCGTGCACATCCACAATAGTTTAAACTTACTTTTTGCATAAGATTGAACTTGTCTGCTATACAGACTCATTTAAATATCAGGTTAACAAAAGACTTGCCAGCTCAAAACAGAAAACTGCTCAACCATCTGTCAGGTCACATCTGTCTCTCACAAACACAATCATTTGTTTGCCATACATGGTCACAATGCACTTCTGTTGAATATTGTTATGCAATACATTAACTAAAGCAATACTGAACTTTTATTCAAGTAACATTGGAGCAAATAATTTGGACATCTTTAGCAAGGTAAAATAATGAGTCTATGTTCAGTTAAATATCTCATGCTGAATGATATTTGTAAAGTGAAAAATCTTAAATCATGGGAAAAGATTACATAAGGTGAAAGTGAAATGGAAACCACAGGAGGTAAAAGCTTTAACCTGGCTTAACCTTAAGATTAGTGTCAGTATAAAGTTAAACACATACACACAATATGTTTGCGAGATTAACAGACCTTAATTTGTCAATTCACCAATAATCTAAAAGAGAGTGTTTAGCTCGGGAAAAGATTACATAAGATGAAAGTGAAATGGAAACCACAGGAGGTAAAAGCTTTAACCTGGCTTAACCTTAAGATTAGTGTCAGTATAAAGTTAAACACATACACACAATATGTTTGCGAGATTAACAGACCTTAATTTGTCAATTCACCAATAATCTAAAAGAGAGTGTTTAGCTGAAGAACCATTGTGAACAGATCGCTGAGTCAGATTTTAAGAACTGGAGCAATGAATGAATCATGCTTTTGAGCCAGTTCTTTTCAATTGGTTAAACCAGCTAACAAATTGTACTGATTCTTTTACGAATCATAGTTCAACTCTGACTCACTGATTCAGTCCCACAGGCTCTCAAGATCACTGGAGGAGAAGATCATAATCAGAAGACTTCAGAAGGCTTGGGATTTCGCTCACAAGTCATACAGAACACTTTTAAGGTGCTTTTTGTTCCTTTGTTTGGATCTTAACAGTTGTGCATATCAGCAGTCTTGCATGGAAAAGACTTACATGAAAAACCTTGAAGAGTGCATAACTTCATGCCTTGATAAACAAATCAATAATGGGAAATAATGTCTCCTCCCCCCAATCATTCAATATAATTCATAATATCGATTGTGTATTTGTCTGCTGTATTATTAAACAACGTTACCTCTTAACAACATTGAACAGAATTTATATATTGTCTATAAGTTTACATGTACGTTTCAGCGTTTGGGCGTTATTGACCATTATTGGGGCATATAGATGCACTCTAAAAATGCTGGGTTGTTTTAACCCAATTTTGGGTCAAATATGGACTAACCCAACTGTTGGGTTAAATTTTGGTTACATTTTTTAATTAACTTTTTAACCCAAAAGTTGGGTTAGTCCATATCTGACCCAAAATTGGGTTGAAACAACCCAGCATTTTTTAGTGTGTGTACACAATTATTGTTTATAATGAAACAAAAAATCTAAATAAAGTATACAGATTACATACGATGCGTTAAATTCATGTTAAACTGCACACAAGTAAATAAATAGTTTGTGTATTATGCATCCAGCACGATATACACACTCACAAAAACTTACAATTACACTTACGCACGTTCAAACTGAATGAAAGAAAAAAAATGCGTTTTAATCAACAGTTGAAACACTGTGACGCTCTTCTGCACACACAACAACATCAAAGTACTTACATGAGCGGACTGGGGAACTGCGATGGGCACGAGATATGAACAGATGCGAAGAGGAACATCATCAGCACGGAGATTCTGAACGGATTCATGGCCAGATCTGTTGATCTCGAGCGCACCATCAGCTGTCAATCCACACCAGTTACTTTTCTCCAAAGATATAACGCGTCGTTCTCCTGTCCTGCTGGATAATCTTATTATAAGCTTTAACCTGGCTTAACCTTAAGATTAGTGTCAGTATAAAGTTAAACACATACACACAATATGTTTGCGAGATTAACAGACCTTAATTTGTCAATTCACCAATAATCTAAAAGAGAGTGTTTAGCTGAAGAACCATTGTGAACAGATCGCTGAGTCAGATTTTAAGAACTGGAGCAATGAATGAATCATGCTTTTGAGCCAGTTCTTTTCAATTGGTTAAACCAGCTAACAAATTGTACTGATTCTTTTACGAATCATAGTTCAACTCTGACTCACTGATTCAGTCCCACAGGCTCTCAAGATCACTGGAGGAGAAGATCATAATCAGAAGACTTCAGAAGGCTTGGGATTTCGCTCACAAGTCATACAGAACACTTTTAAGGTGCTTTTTGTTCCTTTGTTTGGATCTTAACAGTTGTGCTTATCAGCAGTCTTGCATGGAAAAGACTTACATGAAAAACCTTGAAGAGTGCATAACTTCATGCCTTGATAAACAAATCAATAATGGGAAATAATGTCTCCTCCCCCCAATCATTCAATATAATTCATAATATCGATTGTGTATTTGTCTGCTGTATTATTAAACAACGTTACCTCTTAACAACATTGAACAAAATGTATATATTGTCTATAAGTTTACATGTACGTTTCAGCGTTTGGACGTTATTGACCATTATTGGGACATATAGATGTAGACAATTATTGTTTATAATGAAACAAACATCTAAATCAAGTATACAGATTACATACGATGCGTTAAATTCGTGTTAAACTGCACACAAGTAAATAAATAGTTTGTGTATTATGCATCCAGCACGATATACACACTCACAAAAACTTACAATTACACTTACGCACGTTCACACTGAATGAAAGAAAAAAAAATGCGTTTTAATCAACAGTTGAAACACTGTGACTGTGTGTACACAATTATTGTTTATAATGAAACAAAAAATCTAAATAAAGTATACAGATTACATACGATGCGTTAAATTCATGTTAAACTGCACACAAGTAAATAAATAGTTTGTGTATTATGCATCCAGCACGATATACACACTCACAAAAACTTACAATTACACTTACGCACGTTCAAACTGAATGAAAGAAAAAAAATGCGTTTTAATCAACAGTTGAAACACTGTGACGCTCTTCTGCACACACAACAACATCAAAGTACTTACATGAGCGGACTGGGGAACTGCGATGGGCACGAGATATGAACAGATGCGAAGAGGAACATCATCAGCGCGGAGATTCTGAACGGATTCATGGCCAGATCTGTTGATCTCGAGCGCACCATCAGCTGTCAATCCACACCAGTTACTTTTCTCCAAAGATATAACGCGTCGTTCTCCTGTCCTGCTGGATAATCTTATTATCTCCCGTCATCAGGTTAGAGACAGACTGGATCGGATTGGTGATGAGTGTCCTGTTGGATAGCTCTATACGCGCCGCTTCATGTTACAAAAGCGCGTGTGTGGCTCTTCTGTGTGATCCTGCGCGCGCTCTGATCAAACTACTGACCCCGTATAGATTGGGAGGGAGAGATCAATAGCCCCGAATCAGCGTCATTCTGCCCCCACCCCTCTCTCTTGCCCTCTTATTGCAATAGCCTGCTATCTTTCATCGGATCTTCATGCAATGCAACCCTCTCCAGTCCCTCTCTCTCTCTCCTCCTCCTCCTTCTCTTATGCTTCCTCAACACATACTAAGTAACACCCTCCTGAAATCAATTAAGAATGCGTACAAAAGTGCCGTGATACCCACTGAAAGCCAACTAAGAAGATTTGGCATTTACATTTTTACTTGAGTACAGTAAGTTTTTGGCACATAAAGAAATAAACTGCAATGATTTGTTAAAAATACTTGTTTTATTGATATTTTATATAATACTTATGGTTACACAACGTATATAAATACTTAATTTTATATTATTAACGCCATCTGCATGCAATACTACTACTACTGATAATAATTTTGTTTAATCTATTATTTGATAGAATATTTATTTTAATATAAATTACATAAATATGTATAAAATATGTACTACTATTACTACAAATACCTAATATATTTATAAGTATAAATTATTATATTATTATTATTTAATAATAGTATTATTATTATTATATTATTCAACAACACCAAAATAACAACATCATCAACAACAACAACAATCATATATTAAATAAAAACAATGCTATCTTCATTCTACATGAAACATATTTTATTTATACATATTTTTATATAAATGATAAACATTTTATATTATATTATTATTTAATTATATTATTATTCAATAATAATAATAAAAAAATATTATTATATTTATAATTAAATAATAATAATTATATTAAATAAAAACAATGTCTTCATACTACATGAAAAATATTTTATTTACATATTTTGTTATGTATATAAATGATAAACATTTTATATAATAATAATAATAAAAATCATCATCATTATTATGAAAATTAAAATGCCATCTACATTCTACATGCAAACATATTTCTTATATGTATATTATTATATGTATATAAATTACACATTATATTTTAATAACAACATTTATTATTTTTATTTTTATTATTATTATTATAAAAATAACTCAACACCAAACTACATGTAAAGACAGTGAGTCTTAAATACACTGCATTGTTATGCTTTTGTTTGAATCTGATCAATATCAAAGGCTCTCTCTTGCTTGTTTTTCACAAATATTCGTTCATTATTCATTTAGGGCATCAGTGAATGATGCATAACATTCATAAACACATACGTTTATATATCATGCATGCACCGCATCCTATTTATTTAATATATAAAAAATAGGATGCTCTGCATGCAAGATAAGGCAATGCTATAAATCACAGCCGAGTCATATAGCTATAATGCTCGTTTAAATGAGATACTCTTTTTTTTCCTTCCCAATGAAATAAAGTTAATAAGCCAGCGAGCAGGGATGGGAGGCAGTTCGGGGCAGTAAGCGGCGAGTTACCCAGGGATTTCGGCTTTCATCCATTGCCTAGCAACCGCGCTCTCCGCGGCAACGACGAGTGTCAAAGCGAGGCGCGTGCAACAGGGCGCGAGACTGCGAGAGAGCGCAAGCTCTACAATAGGAGAGGCCTTGTGCTTTTGTTCCCTGGTCTGTATGCAGGTCCATTAGCACCCATCCATCCCATCGAACCGCGGATCCAATAGGGCCTAGAGGAGGTTTTGTACTGATGCACCACTGCAGAGAAGAGATACAGAGTGACCCTGTGGTAGCTTCAAGTAGAAAGAGTAGCCAACTACATAACAAACAAGGATAAAAGCTCTGGGCCTGCACTCGGCTAAATGAAAAGACGTCGTCCCATCATCAAAAACACACTTTCTCATTAAAACTCCCAATAGGTCTTAAATAGACAGCACTGTTGTGACCTCTTTCCTCTTATGCACGGCCCAGCCGATGATTAAAGGATGCTGGGAAGCGGAGTGCATGTGCACTTTGCTTGCTACCAGTTTAATGTGTTCACCCAACTCTTTTCAGACAGCTCTGTGTTTATGTGGTCGGGCCTGCACACAAGAGGCTCTGGCGGTGAAGTGTATTAGACATCGATGTGCATTAAAAGCATTTCCGAGGACCTTCCAGGTGCATTTGTGGATGAAACTCTTTATGTGCCGGCAGAGTGTTGGGTGTGTTTGTGAGCGCGCCTGTGGCTTGACCGTGGGCCGTTCAGTAAAAGCTAATGACCGAGCTTGTTAAATGTTGACAGGAGATTCTCTAGCTGTTTGTCTAGACCAGGGGTTTTCAAACTAGGGGGTGCAAGGCAGTGCTAGACACTGTTATTTTATATCATCAAGATACTTTTAGAGTTTTTATTAATATTTTGAATTAGTTTTTATTTTTATATGTTCCGTTTTCATTTGAATGTGAAAGTTTTAGTTATTTAGTTGTCTTTTTGTGATTTTTAGGATTTTTGTTCTTTTTCTTTTTTTTTTATAGGTCATAGTATTTATTTATTTTCATTCATTCATTCATTCATTCAATCCAGTTTTATTTTTGGAACATCACTTAAACTAAATGAAAATAGAAAAAGATGTTTTGGCAACTATAACCAAAATAAAACAAGTTTTGTTTAATAAATAATTTTATTATTATTTTATTATTTTATTATTTTATAACGTTGAAGTAACAACATTTTTCATGGTTTTAATTTTAGTTTTAATTTCAGTTAACTATAATAACCCTGGTTCTAGGTCAGTGGTTTTTTTTTATAGGTCATAGTATTTATTTATTTTCATTCATTCATTCATTCATTCATTCATTCATTCAATCCAGTTTTATTTTTGGAACATCACTTAAACTAAATGAAAATAGAAAAAGGTGTTTTGGCAACTATAACCAAAATAAAACAAGTTTTGTTTAATAATTAATTTTATTATTATTTTATTATTTTATAACGTTGAAGTAACAACATTTTTCATGGTTTTAATTTTAGTTTTAATTTCAGTTAACTATAATAACCCTGGTTCTAGGTCAGTGGTGAAGTTTAAGCATAACTAAATAAATAAATAAGATTTTAAAATAAATTTGATTAAATACACAATAATAATAATAACAATAATATTTGTTTAAAAAACAAATGCAATTTACAAAATAAAAATACAGTTAAATAAAACTGATTTAAATAAAAAAAAGTTTTGTTATGTTTGATTGCATCATATAATAATTGCTGTTAATAGTCATATAATAATTGCTGTTAATCATCTGTTTGACTATGTCTTTAATTGATTTTTCCGTACATTTCTGCCATATGTACATAAACTGACAGTCACCACTGATAAGCTACTACTACATATTGTAGAAACTTAATTTTCTGTAAAGTTGCTTTGCAACGATTTGTATTGTAAAAAGCGCTATACAAATAATACAAATAATAAAAAAAATTAATAATTGAATAAAAAATAAAACTGGATTTGAATAATACATCTAACAGTTCTAACAGTAGTAAAATATTTTAGAAACGTAATTTTCTGTAAAGTTGCTTTGCAACGATTTGTATTGTAAAAAGCGCTATACAAATAACCTTGAATTTAAAAAAAATTAATAATTGAATAAAAAATAAAACTGGATTTGAATAATACATCTAACAGTACAGTACACTGTAAAATATTTTAGAAACGTAATTTTCTGTAAAGTTGCTTTGCAACGATTTGTATTGTAAAAAGCGCTATACAAATAACCTTGAATTAAAAAAAATTGAATAATTGAATAAAAAATAAAACTGGATTTGAATAATACATCTAACAGTACAGTACACTGTAAAATATTTTAGAAACGTAATTTTCTGTAAAGTTGCTTTGCAACGATTTGTATTGTAAAA